CATGTGTGACACAGGTTTTCCGTTCGCACTTCAAAGCTTTAGTTACTGCCAAGCACTGAGGAAGTGTTAGCAAAGCTGTGCCTTCACTGGTTTTCTTTATTTCTCACTTGACAATGAGAATAGCGTTAAATTAAAGTAGTTCTGGACAGTGATTTTAATCTCCCTCTGGAATCAACTGTCCATACTGGGCTTGTGAATGGGCTTGAAAAATACATTCTGTAAATGTATTTTACTACTTTTTTAGGTTTTACATGGCCCAAGTGGTCTGAAGGTGAGTCTGGAGGATGGTGGGCAACTACCTCCAGCCTTTTCCATTCAGAACTCTGGCTTCTTGTTAAAATTAACACTGATTTTCAAAATCATCTTTCAACTACCATGGAAGTCAAAGAGGATCTTGTAACAGCTCAGAAAAACAACCAGAAGCTAATGGGCTGCATGAGAAAACTGGGATAGATGTTTTGATTAAACCCAGGTTTCATGCTCAACCGATGCGAGTCAGAACCATGCACTAGAGATGAGAGCAGGACTATCAAGTGTTATTTAATTATACAGGAATAGAAGGACAATGTGATATTATTTAATCTACTCAGAGCAATACAAGTACTTCATACAGTAGTGATGACTACCATATGACAAATACGATAACAATAGTAGTTGCATAAATACAGATAATTAAGCATGTGCCTTCATGCTCTTCAGAAAGTACTAGAGTGGATGTCTACCTCCGGACCTAAATTTTCCCATCAGATATTCCTCTCAGTTTCTCTCAAATAAACAACATCTTTGTGTGTAAAAGGACCTTCACAGAGGATATCAAGGACAGGAGTTTTCAGCTTAAATACTGAAACAGTTTAACGTATTTATTTCCTAATTGTGAAGATGATACCAGCTAGGACCCACTGGTTTAAGTCTCAGCAGAGGCATAAGGCTAAGACCCAGAAGAAAACATAGCTCTTTGGGATCTGGTGGAGTTGAGAATGGTCAGTGTGAGGTTAATGGTTGGACTGGATGATCTTCAAGATTTTTTCCAATCAAGATGATTCTGTGAAAACCTTTATGGCAACTGAGGTACATATTAGCATTGAAGACAAGAGAGTCACTTGAAGTAGGATGGGACTGCAGCATTCACTTAGGGGTGCTGCCAGGTGAGTGCAGAAAGCTCCATAAAATCCCAAGAGTGATTTACATTCAGAACTGCTATTTATATTAAAACTTTTTTTGAAAATGCAGATGAAATTTATTCTCTGCTTACTAAATTACAAGGGACTGGGCTCGGCGTGAGCAACCTGTTATTATTGACCCTTCTCTGAGCACTGGACTAGATGGCCTTCAGAGTCCCCTTCCAATCTCAGCTGTCCTGTGACTCTGTGATGTTAGAGTTACGATGGTAAAATCTTCTTCAGTTAAATATTTCTGCACAAGACAAATAGAGACATAAAAAAACCAAAACAGAGATACCCTTCCTTCCCAAGAAGTAGCCTGAAAACAGAATAAACATCCTTCTTCTCCAGGGCATTAAGAAACAACTCACCTCAGATGATATTAAAGCTATTATAGCCATTTGACAAGACTTGAGAATTCTGGCAAAAAAAGCAATTTGTGGTTATTGTTATCCCCTCTGACCAGAGGGATTAGCAGGCAATTCAAGACCAGACAATGCCAGGCATCTGCTGCAGTCCTGTTTCCCATACAGAATGAATTAAACAGGGTCAAGTGCCTCTGCTCAGTCCTCATCCCCTTTTCCAGTCAATATCTAGGACTAAAGTGCTCTTGCTTTCTCTTTCTCTCTTTCTTGCCATCTCTCACATGCTCTCTCTCTTTCTCAGGCTGGACACCCAGAGCTTTTACCAGCCATACCCTTGTTTTTTCATTATTTTACTGTTTTCCCTGTGCTTTTCCCCTCTCTGTACAGGCACACAAATCTCCACAACACAATATCCATCAGAAACTTCAAATTCCACATGCCTTACTCATGTTGTTTAAAGGTGGCAGCTGCTTCCACTTCAAAAAAGAAACAGCTATTTCTCATAAGGCTTCTCAGATACACATCATCATCAGGTTCCACTGGAGTTCCCACTTTTTGTGTCAATGCCACTGATATAAACACTGAATGAGACTGGTCCCAAGACTCATCCCTAAGGACCTCCAAAAGTAATCTTCCTTCAGCTTGATATTTTCCTTTTTTAGTAGTGTCTGTTTTAAAAATATACAGTGTTTTATCTTCCTAACACTAGCAGATTAATACTGATAGATTTTATGAATGAAATGTATTTTGGAGTGTAATTGTAATAGCAGGGAATCATTTAAGGGTCAGAGAAGGATGAAAATTCAGATGTTGATCAACATTATATGGAAAAGAAATGAGACAGAGGATGACAGATTGCCAAAAGGAAATTTAGGAAAGATTTGATGAGGCCTCAGACGTTGTGAAGGGAATTAGAATAAAATTAGAGCAGAAGAATATTTAGCAGAAAAGTGGTACTAACCCCTGAGGAGAGGAACTGATGCATTACTGCTCCTGGCACATTTTTCTAAATTAGTATTGCTCCGAAGATGTTCAAATATATTACTTTCAGTCTCTAAGCAGTCTGGACATGCTTTTATTGCCTTGTTTTCCTACCATTCTTACTTCACTGTTTCCACATTTTGTTTTTCCCACATAGCAGATGGCAAGCCAGAAAAAAGCAGCTTTACTTTAAACATTTAGCGGCATCTGAATTCCCATGTGTAAAGGCTTTTTCTTTCCTCAAGTACCTCCAGGCTGCTAGATCAAACTGTAGAAGTTGTCAAAGTCAGCTAGACTATACTAAACATTTCCAGGGAATCATGATTATATACACAATCATTTATATGTTACAGGTACAAAGCAAGGAAGAACAATATATCTACTTTGGGGAATAATAATGAGAAGGTAGCAAAAATAGTGATATAGATTGGCAAAACATTATCTCAAAAATCAAAATAATATTTTTATCCCAAAGGTAATACTTTATAAAACACTTCCTCAAGAAAACAGGGGGTTTTCTGGTTCAGATTTTTTTATTTTCTCTCTTGAAATAAATATTGTAAATCTTTCTCAACTAAAAGATTTGCTGGATAAACCCAGACATCAAATAACAAATTGTTACTCATAAAAACATAGACTCTGTTTAAGTAGCTACATTGAAAATATAAAACTCTAGACAAGTCTAAACTTTTAATGAAAAATAGTACTTTTTTTCCTCCTGTAACAAAACTGCCTGTTTTATCTTCCCCAAAAGTACAGTTTAAACTGAAGAAAAAATTTACCTGGAAAATCATTTGCAGAGTAATATCAAAGAGAAGTATTAATTAAGGCTGGCCTTTGAAATTTGATCTGCGGTTCCTAACTTTGGTTAATTTCCTGTCTTGAAAACCATTTGTGGACATGTTTCTCTATTTTGTCTTCTGTCACCACTAAAATATTTTGGACAGGGCGGAAGCAATTGACTGACATCTCTTGTCAGGCTCTTGCATGTGACAGTTTTATAGGCACTCCTGGAAAACACGGCCTTCCAAAAGGTGAGTTAGAAAACCATGCTCACAGAGTAAGTCTAAATTTAGTAGCTCTACTAAACAGAAGGATGAGTGAAGCGAGGCTTAAGTCCAGAACTGTTCAGTGTTTTCATTAATGGTCTGGATGTTAGTAATGGAGAATGAGTTTACTACGTTCACCTATAATACCAAATTGAGGAAGAATGAGCATTCAAAATCATCTTGCTAAACCAGAGAAATCAGCTACAAAAAATGGGATGCAAGTCAATACAGTTAAATGCCAGTTACTAAACCCATATGGGAATAGTCAGCTGCACAAACACAGAAAGGAAGAACAAGTGAGTACCCATTAACTCCGTACAGAAGAATCCAAGGATTATGGTAGATCACAGCATGAACATAAAGTAGGAGATGTTATGCCATTGTGAAATAAGTGAACATTATATTTGATATATGAATAGGAGCACTGTCTATTGACTCACAAGGGAACCCTTCCGCTCTGTAAGCTTTGGAAAGTCCCTGCAGCAGGAACTCCATTGGCATGGAGGGATAGCAAAGATCCCAGCTTTTCTTAGAGACTTAACCAAGCAGCACCGAGTATCATATTAATTCAGTGGGTTTTTAAAAAATATGTTATGAGGCGTTATTACTGAGTTCCCTTCCCAAACACCACAGGTTAGTTTGAAACAGATTTTTCTTGGCTCAGTTCAGGAGGGCCATTGGGTCTATTTCAATGCACTGGGATGAATGAGTCTGAGGATAAAGCGGTTGTCCTCACTTCTTGTGGACAAATATGCATCATAATGAAGTTTCACTGATTTTCTGTAGCTTCTGCAATACTACCTCTGCTCTCGCAAATAACTTGTGTTCATTTTGATGGGTCTTTCCTCTTCAAAGTCAACAAGAAAATTGAACTTTATCAGCAGAAATGCAATAGTTTCTCATATAAATCTTCAGAAAGGAGCATTTCACTAACACTTCTCACTCGATTGTGGAGACTGACATATTGTAAGCAGGCTTTGTGGGGAGAGGCAGCGTCTCTGTGTATACAAGAAGTCTCAGCTGACTGGAAGCTGGCTCTGTACCATGGCTACCTCAACCAGACGACACACCTCTGCTCACACAGTCCAAGATATGTATCCACCATCACATAATTTTCTGCTCAACTCCTGGCTTGATTCTATAAACCTCAAAAAAAAGATAAAAGAATAAACATTCTGACAGACTTTATTACATCTGCCAACTGTGTGTAACATTTCCTATTTATATAACAACATTTTACTATTAGAAACCAACAGATTCTTGAGAGCAGAGTTTTGCGGGATGTTCAGCTTCATTTACCTTCATTTTCTGCTGCAGGCACAATTAAGCCAAACTCTTGTATTTCAGGTTAAGTCATGGAACATTTTCACATTAAAACTGAAACTATATACAAGCTTTTGCTGAAAGTATTGTCAGATCAGCACTGGAAGATTTTAAATCAGGCAATGTCTATGAATGGGTGTATGAATAGGTCTTTTGTGGTCCTGTCATTTCTCAGGCACAAAGCCTTTGTAGAAAGCAAAATATTTTGGCCATTCATGTTTTTACTGTGTGATTTATAACATTGTCCCAAAGCTCTTTGTGAATTTAAAATGCTGTGACCACGTTTTTCAGAAAGGAACGCTTAAATATAATATTCCCAGATCTGCATGTAGGTTCTTAAATGAGGCCCTGATCCTGCAAATACTGACACGGATGCTTTTAGTTAAATATAGGACTAAATTTTGGCAGAAACAGGGCCTAAATAAGCCGCCATTTCAAAAATATCAAGTAGCTTCCAAGGACCGTTGCAAGCCCTAGAGCACAGAAGCAGGGCTATGTTGCATAGTCCTGCTGACTTCATGGCATTACTCACATATTTAAAACCCTTGTTGGATCACGTCCTCTCTGAGACAGAAGAACCATCTCACTCTGCCTTAAATGGGAATTGATTCAGGATCTTAAAATGGCAAAGCAGAAATCCGAGGTGAATGCTTAGTTCTGTACACCTGATTCTGACCGCTGCAGGTAAAAATACATGTTGCTAACTTTTCCTCTGATGAAGCTTTAAACCAGAATGAATATATCAGCCTTGGGCAGGAAAAGGTCATGCATTAAACACACTTTGCTAACTAGTCCCTTTACTCATAGATTGTCTAAGCAAATAAACCCAAAATTGATGTTTTATTTAGAATGTATTTTATTTTTTTAGAAATCACATTAAGAAATATGAAGAAGTATCAAAAATGACAACTTTAAAGGCTATGATTTTCTACAGAAGGTTAGTCAGTATTGACTTTGTAAGCACTTTAGTCCCAAAAGCAAGAATACCTTTATAATGCATAATGCCACAGAGAACCTTTGAGTGAAAAGTGAAAGGACATTTCTTTGGCTACTTCACATCAGCAGTTATTATTCTAAACTCACAGTTTAGGAAGCTGTATCTCAATCAGAGTTGATGATTTAGCTAGACCACATCTAAGATGAGCTTCTCAAGAAAGGGGTAGTATATAAGGTAAGTACAGTGGTAGCCCTTTATGTCTGACTTATTCTCTGGGGACATCTGGAAACCAGCTGATCCTGGATACAATCATCAGCCAGAGACTGTTAGGATGTAAAAATGCTGTGATGGTGCTCTCCTTCCTCATATACCGATGATAAAAGACCTACACAGAGGCTAAACTGATTTCAAGGCTGTCACAAATCAAGCCCAACAGGCCAAGGGTCTACAACTGCGTAGTGAAAAATGGAGACAAGTGCAGTGCAAGAGGATTAGAGCAATATGTTATTGAATACCACCTCAGAGTAAAGATTTCGGCTCAGCGTCTATAACAAAGCCTTTTAGTTTTATGGCTTTTCTCTATTAGAAGCACCAGTCTCTCAGTTTCTCAGCCAACACATAGCTAGATGTCATCAAAGAGGTCCTCCACCTCACAAGTGTTTTCCAGGGTTTCGAGAGACATCACGTCTGGCGAACGCTTGCCTGATGTCTTCTGAGAGGCCACATCAGGTCTGGAAATACAAAGCAAAGAGATTTGAAACAAAGTTAGATAGAGATATAAACAATTATGACGTATACACTGCCAAGGTAACCTTTTAATAGTGTATTTTGAGCTTTTTGTTAAGGTTACATGAAGAGAAAAGCGCTTTTTGTAAGACCTAAATACTTGCTGAGATGGCAATGGCAAAACAAACAGATGAAATTCAGTTTATAAATGTCAAGGCCTCAGCTATTTTGTTGTAATTTTTAGGCCCCTGAGAACGACCATTTCACCCACAATTTCCACATGGAGAGCCAGGAAGAGCAGAACAAATGCAGAAAACATATAAAGGATGTGCTCTTCTCCTACTGCACAGGATGATGCTCTGTTAACTGCTCTTTATTTTTTCCCTGGCGCTAAGCATGTGTCTGTTGTCCATCAGTCTGACATGGAAGCATATAAAGAATCAGACTGAGTTGCCTCAAAGGTAGAAGCTTCTCTCCAAACAGTAAGGCAGAAGAAAACAAAGGCAAATGAAGAAAACCTTCCATAATACATAAAACCGGGTATTCAGGGACTTTCAAATGCGTAGCCTTCCCCTGTATGTTATGTTTACATTTGCTATAAATGTATGCAAATAGAAGCACTGGTCGTTCAGGTGTATGTCAAGGTGCAGGTTTGCCCTCAGATAGCTGAACACCACAGAGTCCCACCTGAAAACTTCATGCCTGAATCATACATCCATTACACTGAATAACGTGCTACCCTGCATCAGTCAGTCCTATTTAGCATTCCTTTGACTGTCCACATCAATGCAGATCATTTAAATGTCTTGGCTATACAAGCTCCTGCTGTTTGCCAGGAGCCCACGTTCACTCTTTCTCCTCTCTCTCCAAGACAGCAATGTGCTTATGCTTGGGAAGGCAAGGTCTCTCGTGTTTCCAAAAATGGTGGCGTTTGCAACAGCTTCTGATCCCTGCTGGAATTAATCTCACATGTATATGATAAATCCACAAAAAATCTTTTGAATCCTGCACAGACAGCTTTACTTTTGTGAGCTTTAAGAGGAGAATTATTGATCACAAATACGGGTGTTTTCAGTGACAACATACTTCAGGTCACCATCACTAGTTGCTTTAAAAAACCCCCATAATCTCTTAATCTTGACTCAGTATGCTGTAGGGAATTGGTGTAGGAAGCAGGGAGCAGACCTCATATGCTTCTAGTGGAGAATTTTGGACTGATTGGAGTTTCATAAGGGTTGATGGCTTCATGTCCAGGTGGTATATTCGACTAGTGAAATTCTGACAGAAGGTGAAAAATACGTATATTACCAAGGCCAACACATCAGCCACCAGGATGGGAAGAACTTGACAGAAGCGACGGAAAGTGCTAGTCCCAAATGCTGCCATATGAGGGCTTAGTGCAATGAGGTATGCAAAAGCAATCTTAATTTTCAGACTAACTCAAGCATTTGTCTTCAACTGCTCTGTGTTGTAGAGCCAATATAGTGAAATTCAGCAGGTTTTTTTTTTTCTTTTTCAATTTGGTTTCAAACAGATTCAGAACGAAGTTTTCCAGAACTCTTACCTAGAAATCTCTAGGGAGCCCAAGTTTTTATAAAACACTGCAATCTTGAAAATGCAATGAGCTTGCTAAGACACCAGCCACTGCATGATTCATAGCCTCTCACACTTCAAATTTGTCAAGCCCCTGGAGGTTCAGAGGCCTCACTACGATGTTTCCTGGTGTGGACCTGGGGAAAGATTTTCATTCCGAGGTGGAGCCCCTGTGTTCCGGAGGAATCAGCAAAAGCCCAGTAAATGATGAGTCTTGGATGCCATCACTTCCTAAGACCTCTCCAGTATTCAGAAGGGTTTCCTCACCACTCTATCCATCACTCCAGTTCTGCAAACCATGTTAAATTTAATGTACTGGTATATTCAGATTATGATAACTACTTTCTCTGCAAGTCTAACTAGATTTCTCTGAGAACTCTTCCAAAATTCTTCCCTTCTGGTCTGAATAAATTGTGTCCAAGCATTTTTTTTTTTGGTGCCTTTTGGTATGCAGCGACATCCGGACAGATGTGTGTCTCACCAAAGACACTTGGACTAACGGAAACAAACCTGCCAGAATCAGAACCTTAGCCACGATCTTTGGTCAGTGAGATCAGATCACTCCATGCTATTCTGATTGCAAGCAGAACTAACTTATTGTACTTTTTTTTTTTACCTTTTTTTTTTTTTTGATAGATAGATAGATAGATAGATAGATAGATAGATAGATAGATAGATAGATAGATATAGGTAGCATACCCTAACACAATGTGATGCTCAAGTTTACTTACTGAAGTGTGTTGTTCTTTTACCTTTCTAGGGGTATCTAAAGCATTAAGTCTCCAGTAAGAACATATGTAAATCACACAGTGTGGAGTCACACACTGATCATTTTAATTAATTCTGAAAGGTCTCATCAGCAAATAAATTAGGCTGTGAAGACCACAGGCTATTTCAGGTACTGGAAGGTTTTTTTAGAGCATATGCTCATATGCCATATAGGCATAAAAGATTTCTGAGACCTCACATTTGTTGACTTTGAGGTTTCACCTGTTCCAGCATATTCTGATTTTGAAAAGTAAGGCTGACAGTGCTTAAGCAATGTCAACAACAATTTTATTCTCATTAGCTAAAATAACTGTTTTCAACATAGTACATGAGATCACATCTATAAGCCAAATCACTGTTGAGTTTTAACATTACACAGCTAGAACTACTAAGCTTCTGTGTTCTTGTAACAACATGGTCCTCATTTAATCTCCAAAAGATGTAATCCCATGCCTGTGAATAAACCCAGCTACACTTGCAAAGTGGAAGCATTAGGCTCTTTACATGAAGTTCATAAGCAACTTAATTTTGGTTTTAAGACTTGATGATTCCTATTTGCATGGTAATTATTCACTGAATGCCAACAGCTTGCTTTGTGCTGTGAAATGATTTTGAATCTTGGATTCTCACTGAAGCTGTATTACCATATCCTGATGCATAACTGAGTTAATTTCTTTAAATTACAGTGAGTTGTATAGTCCTCTCTTGCCAAAAAGCCTGTAAGTAAGGCATTCTTCTTGGAAGTTTATTCTTCTGTTGGATCGCTCTTTGAAGTCTTGCCTTTTGGTAAACTTAAACTCCATTAACACATCTGGAGAACTGCTGACTATAAGAGATCATTTCATATTTCCTGACATTTAGTTCAAGCCCTTCATAAATTGAGACAGAAGACCAGATCCACAGCTGGTGTGAATCACTGGTGCACTAATAATGTCAATGGAGCTCTGCTGACTTACACCAGCTGAGATTCTGGCCCAAGATTTGGAAGAAAGTGGTTACATTACTTGATATTTCTTTCCACAGCTGAGTAAGAGCCATAAGAAACAGAAGACACGCAACACTTCAGTACTTAACTAAACAGCACAGAAACTCAAAGCCATGCAGGGCAATGGGTTTCCATACCCCGGGAGAAAACGCAGCACCTTCTTTTGCAGTAAGACAGATGGACCACTACCATTTGTCTCTTGTGATGAATTATTCCTGAGCTCACAGAGACCCCAGAGAAGATCTGCACAACACCATTCCTGCTGCAACAGACGGCCAGTTCGACAAGATAATGTTTGTGAAGCAGTATGAAGTAGAAAATAATTTCCTATGTGATTGCTACAAATGACATGATTAAAAAGAGCTTCCTAGTGGTAAAACAAGGTGTAGCTGTGCTGAAGGAAAATCAGGGCAGAGGCTGCAATATCAGCCCAGCTGCTCATCTCGAGGTACTTCTTGCTGGAAAGATGAAAGATTCTTGCACTTAGCTATGCTTGTATAGCCAACCTGGCACATTGTGGTTATGATTTTACTCAAGTTTTTGTTCTCTAGCAACTCTAAGTTCCCAAGAAACTTAAGTAATCTAGGAGACATACTTGTGTCCTTGGACCATTACTTTATTTTCCTAATTTTTTAGTAATTAAAATAATCAAGTCCAACCAAAACCTGGCATTTTACTAAGAGAGGAGATCTCAGCTCTCCCGGAAGATGTGTAGCAGTGTTTCAGGAAAAGGCTGAATTTCTAGGTGTGTATATCTTTCCTTAGCTTGCTCTAATGTTCACTTTTGTCATTAATATGAAAAAAATGAAGGCTTAATACCATGAGCAGATATTAACAGAGAATATAATATGATATAAACTTTCTTTGGTATCAGAAAAATAGGTGGCAGCAGCAGCTCATAAACATAGAATTGGTAGTCATTGCAGAATTAACATAGGAACAAAGGTGAGGCACCTCAACAAACACTCGCATTGCGACTGACAGGCCAAAAGCTCTGAGCAACGTCTGTGCTCCAGAGATGGTGCTTTCAGTCTACCATAAGAGGAAAAACCCGGATTCTTTGATTTATCAGCAATCTGCTGCTAGGCTGTATAAACTTTGTCCTCACAAAGCTGTAAGAAGAAAGGTACTCATCAGCCATTATTAAGGAAGGATTATGAAAGGAGCTTTGAGTAAATTTCATGGCAATACGTAAAACCTTGGCCTTGAAAAACTGATGCCCCATGGTGTGAGCTCTTGGGAGACATCATACTGACTGCCTGTGGCTACTGGCCAAAAAAAGGAAAGTTCAGCCACAAAAAGAAAAAGAAATGGTGTAATGGAGGAGGGGGAACAGCCTCTTACGTGAATAGATGCATCAAGAACACTATGTGCAGACAGACCTCTTTAAAGTTGAATATTAAATATGTAAGTAGACTAAATTGAAACTACATGTGATGAAAAAATACAATGATATTCCCCTTTACAGAAATGCTACAAGGACTATAATATAAGGTAAATTATAAAGTTGTTTTTGTTTTTGTTTTGAATTTAATTTAAAATGGAAAATGAAACTCAGTAATTTGGTTTAGGTTTTGGCAGTATTGTAAGTATTCAACATCCAAATATAGTCTACTCTGGCATTTATTCCTAAAAATTAGAATGAAAACAAACCCATAT